TGCCGGCTGGCGTCCTGGGCATCCGCCCCGATGGACCCTGCGGAGACGAGGGGGGCTTGGGGTTTTTGCAGGATCTGATGCCTTGGTTGCTTAACTGTGCTTGGAGATCATTAGTGGCTTTGGCCTGCACTTATATATTTATTTATTGGTTCAATGTCCTTTCGTAGCTGCTCTCTGGATCGTGAGATCTCAGCACTGGTGTTGGCATATGTTTTCCTTTCTATCTGTAATGGATAGAAACTTTTCACCAAAAGAAAACCCAGCAACAGCAAAGAGAATGTTAATTGAGCTTTCCATATCCTCTCTCATTTGCAAGAAGTGGGACTTTGTGGGAGGCATCAGACTTGCAATCGCTTCATGAGAGCTTGTTTTATTTACAGCTGTTGCCGTTTCCTAGACTGCCTTTAATTTCCAGGCAGTCAAGATCCATGCTCGCATTTTCAGTATTGTTCATGCAGGTATCTCAGGATTGCATTTTCACTGGAGCTACCCTGCGCAGCTGGTTTAATAAGGATGAGGTGATCAGATTTAACTATTTTATCTGAGTTGCTATATCTCTGTCTCCAACATCAGCAATACTAGCTCACATATCGCAGTAAAGGAAATTTTTTTTTTATTAAAATCAAATATTCCCAGGGCAAATTAAGAAGGAAGCACTTTTAGATCTGGCTAACTAGCCCTTCTATGTATGCCTCTGTGTCAAAAGAAGGAGCAGTTCTGTTTAACAGTTCTGTTTAACATCATTATCAAGAACCTGGACGAGGGGATAAAGTGCACCCTCAGCAAGTTTGCAGGTGACACCAAGTGGGGTGGGAGTGTTGATCTGCTTGAGGGTAGGAAGGCTCTACAGAGGAACCTGGACAGGCTGGATCGATGGGGTGAGGCCAATTGTATGAGGTTCAACAAGGCCAAGTGCTGGATCCTGCACTTGGGTCACAGCAACCCTATGCAATGCTACAGGCTTGAGGAAGAGTGGCTGGAAAGCTGCTTGGCAGAGAGGGATCTGGGGGTACTGGTTGACAGCTGGCTGAATATGAGCCAGCAGTGTGCCCAGGTGGCCAAGAAGGCCAACAGCATCCTGGCTTGTATCAGAAATAGTGTGGCCAGCAGGACCAGGGAAGTAATCCTTCCCCTGTACTTAGCACTGGTGAGGCCACAGCTCGAATACTGGGTTCAGTTTTGGGCCCCTCACTACAAGAAAGACATTGAGGTGCTGGAGCATGTCCAGAGAAGGGCAACAAAGCTGGTGAGGGGTCTGGAGCACCAGTCTTATGAGGAGCAACTGAGGGAACTGCGGTTGTTCAGCCCAGAGAAGAGGAGGCTGAGGGGAGACCTTATTGCCTCTACAGCTGCCTGACAGGAGGTTGTAGTGAGGTGGGTGTTGGTCTCTTCTCCCAAGTAACAAGCAACAGGATGAGAGGAGATGGCCTCAAGTTGCACCAGGGGAGATTTAGATTCAATATTGGGAAAAATTTCTTCACCAAAACAGTTATCAGGCACTGGAATGGGCTGCCCAGGGAAGTGGTTGAGTCCCCATCCCTGGAGATATTTAAAAGGTGGGTAGATGAGGTGCTTAGAGACATGATTTAGTAGTGGACAGGTACAGCTGGGCTCTTAAAGGTCTTTTCCAACCAAATGATTCTATGAAATGGACTTCACCTTTGGTTGCATCAGCTCTCCAGGGACAGTGACTATAAACTCCCATTTGTGCCCTGTTGTGCCTCCCTGTGACTTGTGCTACCTGCATGAGCAAGATTTACTCTTAATGTAATTGGCTGTGCCAATGCTCCTTCTTTTGCAATGAGGACATACATGAAAGGGCTAGTTAGCCAGATCTAAAAGTGCTTCCTTCTAATTTTGCTCTGGGAATATTTGTTTCCATGACATATGTATTTGGGCATTAGGCTGTCGAGAAACAAATTCAGATGCTCACTTAAGATCATACAGGAAGCCTCAAGATTTTATATATAAACTAACAAAGAAACATAATGTACTTTCCTGTGTATTTTTGTTAGTATGTCTGTAAAAGATACATCATTCAGCTACGTTATACATGTGTACGTGTAATAAAAAGACAAATTTATCCAAGAGCTTCCTCTACCCTTCTGGTTTCGATCCTCTGATTGTCTCTGATTTTGTATGACTTTTCTGAGGGTGCCAGTCACTTGAGGACTTACTTCCAAGCACTGATGCTTTTAAAGGGGGTATAAGTGCTATATACCGCTTACATGAGGTATATAGGGACTACACATATGAAAATGTGGTTGTGTTTTACCCCTGTGAAAGCAAGCACAGAAATGAGTCAGAAGGCAAGAAGTCTTCGCAATACTTTCACTCCTTTTAATTTATTTCAGTGTATATTTATCTTTGTGCTTGTATCCTTATACACAGGCAGAGCTAGGCCTTAATGAGCACCACCAGAATGAAGTGATCAACTACATGCGCTTTGCTCGTTTCAAGCGTGGCCTGTGTCTCAAAACAGTGGATTCTTGTTTTCAGGACCTTAAGGACAGCAGGTACCGGGGGAATTAAAGGGACCAGTTCTGAGCAAGAATAAAGCAAAATATGCTAGCAACAATTGTAGGTTTAAATGCTTTATGGGGTGACTTTTCTTTTCATACATTTGTATGTTCTTAGTGAGGAGGAAAGACCCAGTAATTTCCCAAGTGTTACAAGTTAAGTCCATTTAAAACAGAGTTGTTCAAATTCTTGGGAATTCACATAGATATCAACAGCATGACATTGTTTTATATCTAGCTTCTGATGTCTAAATTTGATGCAAGACTGTAGCGGAAGGAATATTCGAGATTGTCATGTTTCCAAGAGAAAATCTAAATACCATAAGCAATTAGTAGTGCCATGGTCATCTAATAACTACTGACAGTGGATGTTTTCAGAAGGACATTGCATTATGTAAGAGCGATACATGTGTAGTGAGGTCTCATAACAATGCAGAATTGTTACCTTCATCTTGCATGACTCACCTTGACTGCTCTTTTTAGACTTGTTGAGGAGACTTTCACAGTTGATGAGGTGATAGACATGCTGGATGGACTGCGGACTGTTGTGCACAGTGAAGTGGAGTCAGAGCTCATAAATACAACTTACACCAACGTTCTACTTCTGCGGCAGCTCTTTTCGCAGGCTGAGAAATGGTACCTTAAGTTACAGACAGATGTCTCTGAACTGGAGAATCGGTAATGTATATTGGACTACACAGAATGCCTTTCAACAGTAAGAAAACTTCCGAGTGTTGACTATTTGCATTCTTTTCCTAATCGTAGAAGGCTGTTCTTTTACTGTTGTATCGATGATAGCTTAGTTTCAAGTCTTCCATCAACAAAGTAGCAAGGTATATCATAATTTCAAATTTGTCAGGAAGATGTTTTTATTGGTAATATTCTTACTTGAATTAATCAGTTAAGAGCAGGTGATAGGATTGGATTTAAAAGCCTTTGTTGCCTGAGTAGATTATATTTTAATGCTAAATCTTACAGTTCTAATGCATATACCATACCATTGCATGACATGATCTGTTGCATTTATTGTATTTGCATAGGACTTCATTCTGTACTTCTAACAAGAATCTTACATGCAATAAAGAGCATAGCATCAGCCTGGTAAAATGTGTTTCATAGCATAGCTGTTTTAGTAAATAAATGCTTCCCTTTATTTTTCTTTTCAAGAGAATTGTTGGAACAGGTTGCTGAGTTTGAAAAGTCAGAATTTACATCTTCGAACAAGAAGGTAGAGTTTTATTTTAATCAAATCATAATAATGTCATGTGGAGTCATAACAGATGTTTAAAATACTTAGTAGTGACTCTTTGTGCTTAAGAGAGCAAAACAAAACCAAAAAACCCCACCCTTTTTCAAAGCAATCTTTGAAAGTCTGCAAAAAGTAGCATTTTTGCAGCTTGGCACCAAGGCTCACACTGAATTGCCTTGGCTGTTTCCATATTGTGGATTCTGCACACCTGGGGCATGCCTCATAATCCTCATCCCAAAGTCAGCCAGACCAGCGATGTGTTTGAGCATCTGCTCCTGGGTTCCCTTCCCCCTGGAAACTGGGCTAAGTCTGGGACATTCGCTTGTCCCAGGGCTTTGTCCCAACATGGAGTCAAGAGCTGAGAAGATTCCACAATACAGATATGACTCTAGCTTATCTTGTATGATTCCAGTTGCACCTTATTTGATTTGTCGTGTAAATATATATTTAGTTAATATATATTTGAATACTTAAAATAAGAAAATTATTTTGAGGAGCTGTGTAACTATTTTTTACTCTTACAATCGCTCAAATATTTTTTCTGTTTTCCTTACTCTTTTGTCTTTTGGTTGCTGCAGCACTGGTAATTTTCTGTAAATTCACGTTTGCAGTTCTTTTATGTGTCTATGCAGTATTTTTGTTTAACTTTAGCTGAAAGTGAAATATGTAACTTAGGAGGCAAGATACCAGTAAAAAATGAACTTGAAATAAAAGGTCAAAAAAGACCAAAAGAAAGCTGAATTGACTATCAATAGTTATTTTACAGACTAAAGGGATATTTTTCTTCCTAGAAATCTGTATAATTTAGGTTTTTAACCTTTATTTCTTTAGCCCAGTGCAGATCTCATTAAACCAAAACTGGCTCCGTTAAATGAAGGTGGGTCAGAGCTGCTAAACAAGGTAAGGACTTGTCTGTCTGTGCAGTTGTGGTTCCTGACCATTCTGCTTATTCAACTGAACTGGATGGCTGTACAGTAGTATTTGTATAATGTGCCTATTGCTATATAGACACTGAGGTAATATACCTCCAAATGTAAAGTAAAATGCTAATAAATTTGTAAATATTGTAAAGCATCTTAAATTTATTATGGTGTTATGGTCTCTAATGTGTATTGCAATATTGACCTTTCTTTTGCAAAAGCATTTTGGCTTTTATAATTATTTATTTTCCCATTTATTGAGGTAAATTAGTAGAAACCAGTATTCAGTTTGTTCTGTACAGCTGGCTGTCTTTCCAACAAGGATGTAAACTAAAATATACAGCTGGCTGAAATGACTAGGTTATGAAACATTTTCTGTATCACTTGAAGTCGATCCTATTGCATTCAGTCTTTTTTTCTATTGTTAGTTGGTTAAATTCCTCGTAAAGAAACAGACACTTGAAGAATTTGGAATTTACTAGTTTTGAAAACTTCTGATTTCCCACTTGCTAAAGATTTTCAGAATTACAAACCATATTCTAGTATTTGATGTTATCAATAGTTTTTATTGGGTATTGAGCTCATTTAGTTCAACTGAACTTTTTTTAAAATGCCACACTTCTTACAATGCACTTTTAAGTTATGGGTAGTCAAGAAATTTGCGTTTCTGTCTTCTAGGCTACATTACCAAAGTGATCTGTCAAATACAGTGTCTGAATCAAATTGTTGTTACTCATCAAGATAATCAAAGAATTCAAGAATTCAGACTTGTATTTTACTTATAGATCAATGTAGTTCTTTCAAAAATATTTTCAAAATCTGTTTTGTAACAGTTTTTGTTGAATATGTGCATCTGATGTCTTTTTTTCTCAAAAATAATTTGAAGTTTATATGGTGAATTTACTCTGACTGATAAAGCATGGTTATTTCCTGTGACACTGAACACAATATGCGGTAACCTGGTATTTGTCTCTTTTAAACAGGAACTATGAATAAGTTCTTACTTGCCTGTTGACTGAAAATACTGTTGTGGTGGTTTAAGCCAGCAGGCAGCTAAACACCACACAGCTGCTTGCTCACTCCCCCGCCCTCTCCCCAGTGGGATGGGGGAGAGAATAAAAAAAAGTAAAATCCATGGGTTGAGATAAAAACAGTTTAATAAAACAGCAGAGGAAAACAATAATAATGATGATAAAAGAATATACAAAAGAAGTGATGCACAATGCAATTGTTCACCGACCACTGTCCAGCCCATCCCCAACCAGCAATCACTGCCCCCCTGGCCAACTCCCCTCAGCTTACATACTGACCATGATGTCATGTGGTCTGGAATAGCCCTTTGGCCAGTTGGGGTCAGCTGTCCTGGCTGTGCCCCCTCCCAGCTTCTTGTGCACCTGGCAGAGCATGGGAAGCTGAAAAGTCCTTGACCAGTGTAAGCCCTGCTTAGCAACATCAAACATCAGTGTGTTATCAACATTCTTCTTAGTTGCTAAATCCAAACCACAGCACTGTGCTACTACTAGGAAAAAAAAATTAACTCTATCCCAGCTGAAACCAGAACAAATACAAATGATGAACAGCAATGAGATTTGCATCTCTGTGCAATTTTCTTTATTGTAAATCTTGATACTAAGAAGATGCTGAGCTCACTAACCTCAGTTCAGTAAAGCATGTGCCAAATTTAAGTGAATGGTCCTATGTAGGATCCTACAGTAGGATCAGACTTAAATTTCTTGCTGACTGAGGCAGAAAACACAATAAATGTATTACTGATTTCTTATGACAGCCATTTTTATAAGCATTTAGAAGCTTTTTTGCTTTCCTAAGCTATGAAGCATATTTTCTTACCTGAAATACTTGGAAAATTCAAAATAGTGCAAGAGTCTTCACAAACTTTTTTCTTGTTCATTAACACGAAGACCGTTGCTTGTCTCCAAGAAGAAAATGAAAAGTTGAAGACCAGACTCAAGACCGTAGAAACACAGGTAAATTCCCTGTAAGCTTGGATACTTAATGCTGTTTACATATTAAAAAATATGTAGATAAGAGTCCCATGGTTATTATTCTCATGTCTTCAATTAAAGTATGTTTCTGAGGTTTTATGGTTTCAATGTGTCACAGGCTACAGCTGCACTAGATGAAAAGTCCAAACTAGAGAAGTCACTGAGGGATTTACAGATGATCCAAGGAGATCAAAAGGTAAATATAGTTAAGATTACGTACACACACCCCATTTAACGCAACTGTTGTCCGTACATCTAAAAGTTGGTCTGTATGGTGTGTTTCTTTTCTGGCAAATACAAAGGTTCGAGTTAGTATCATCATGTTCCTGCTGGTCTGCCAGTCAGCAGATAATCCAGAAAGTTAGCTGATTTTATGACACTTATTTTGTGTCACATTGACTGTGATAAATTATTATCAAAAAGTATTATTCCAGGTACTATCAGGAAGTAGTATTCCAGAGTTCATATTCTCAGGAGTGATATTTGTATTAACAGATACAAGTCTATTCTGGTTTGATTCTTCCTGCTTACTAATGAAAGAATGCTATCTAACCCAGTTTTTATAGCAACAATAAAACACTAAAGCTTTCAAGCACTTGTCACCCTTGATATTGACACAGACAAGCCAGACTTGCTGCATCTCACTTCAGACTTCAAAAACCTAAATACTTATATGTATGTGTCTGGTGTCCTGTATTCTTAAACATCAGTTGATTTGATATTGGGTCAGATAACATAAAAATGAGAGTTTGATTTTATGTAGTGCTGCCCATATCAGCATACTGCCAAAAATGGGTCACTGTTTATTTTTACTACTTAAGGTTCATAGTCTTTTTTTGTAAATGGGTGTTCAAACATGGTGAATTGCTGCTGAAAAAAAAAAAAACAAAAAAAACCATAAGAAGTTAGAAATCATGCAGGTTGACACAAATAAATCTGTTCAGGTCACCTTAGTATTTTTTTCAGTTTGTACCTCTATTTACCTTTAGAATTTTCTAAATTTTGTTCATGTGTGATTGTTTCTTAAATTTAAAACGTTTCAGTTCAACCTTTTAACAAAACTAGAACACATTAATCCCATTATTTTGAGAAACTGATTTTTTTAAATTCCTGTAGTATTTACATTTGGAAGTGAAGTTCAAGAGTGTAAAAGATTTCCACTTTACTTTTCATATTTTAATCCTGATTTCTTTTTATTTTGCTTTCTGTCTGGTTTATGGTATGTACTTGGTTTTCTTAATATGTCATCATTTTATCTGGTAACTTTCAAAATCTCTATTCAATAATACTATTTAATAGGGAACTTGATTTGTCAGTCATGGCAAATATTTTCTTTATCTGTTTTGTTAAGCCTTAAATTATTAAAGGTTTAAAATAGTAAAGGGGTTTATTAAAGCCTGGATAATAGTATTTGTAGTTTTAACAGATTGGAACCAAATATCATCCTACTTTTCTGGTTAAACATGAATTGGCCTCAGTGTCAGGGCTGCTGTGTATCTTCAGCTCCCATGTCCTAATTTGCTCTCTAAAGTTGGTCACTTTCTTCTCCAGCTCTTACATTTTCTATTTACATGCATATATATGTTGTTGAAACTAGCCAGTAGATACAGTGCTGAAATGTACTACTGTATTTAATCCATTAAAGTATTGGTGGTTTGGAGAAAATGCTAATTTTTCTCTGGTTTCACTCCATATTTTTATAGGATGGGTGTCAATAAAATCATATGAGCCCAGTTGCTCATTAAAGCAGTAGTTTTCAAACTCAGTGGACAAAGAAATGACTGCCAAGCCACAGTGGTTCTTAAGGACAAACTCTTAGCTCTGCAGATTTCTACCCTTTTTTTCCCCCTGGGTTTTTTTTAATAGTTTAATATGGATCCACACACCAAGTGTGAACCCACAGTCTGGAGTAACTGCTCCGTTGGATCAGTTTAACATGAGGATTTGAAATTTTTACATAACTGATTTATATCACAGTTTAGAAAAATGATCACTCTCTCTTCTGATTTGAAACATTATACAGTGTAGTGCTTTTCAGCACCACAGCCTTGGACTCGGTCTCAAAATTCAAAATAAGTTTTTCTTCTGTACAGGTGCTATTATTAAGTGGTTTCCTGTGCTCAAGTCTTACCTTCCACAAGGAAAAAGGAGCAGAGCTTCCTTAGTTTGAGATTTTTCTTCTTTTTAAGGTGCTGCTGGTTCAGCCTCATCCTGAGTCAATATACTTTTGAGAGTTTGAATTTGAGCTTTTAAGCATGAGAGGGGTTTTTTAATGGAAATCCGTAGAACAGTTACATGAATATCATGTTTTGTGACCCAGAACTGATGCCCAGAAGAGTTCAGGTTGTTTCTTCTCACAGGGAAACAGGAAAGTTGCTTCACAAGCAACTGTGGAGGCTCTTTTTGTAATGTATCTGAGAACAGTGCAATATCAGTACCTGATTGATAATATAAGCCTTAACACTTTCATCCTTTCCTACCTATATTACACTAATGGTTTTTGAAATGCCTGTGATATTTTAAATCTTTAAAAATACAAAAATTAAAATCCTGCTTTAAAAATACATTATAGCATAGACATTCAGATCTGAAACTGTAATTTACCATTTTTGTATGCTAAATAATTTCTTGTGGTTTCACCTAACACCTAAAGAAGTGAAGTACAAGAACTTGAAATCTCAACTTGGCGAAGAAGACATTCCAGTCATCTTTAAAATTCATTTATTAACGGTTTTCTTAAAAGTTATAAATTAGTTAGTGCTTTAACTGATTTTTTTTTTTTTTAGTTAAAGCACATCTAATTTAGGCTTTACAAGAATGGCATGAATGTAATTATTAAAAATTATGATGTACCCACTTTATCTGGAATTTTGCACTCTATGTTTTAAATGTTTCTTTTCTTGCATTTGACATATTTCAAATATTCTTCTTTTGAAGACTAATGCTAACCAGGATATCACTGAACTGGAGAATAAAGTGGCAGCTTTGAAATGCCAGTTTGAGAAGACTTTAAATGACTCTACTGCAAACCAAAAATTCTTGGAAGAGAACTTGGTGACAACAAAACATGACTTGCTTAAGGTTCAGGATCAGCTATCCACAGCTGAAAAGGTTAGCATTTTATTTTAACGTAAAGATGAGATCCTTATTCACATTTTAACTGAGCAGTAATTTAACAAGCATACACTGCAGGATGCAGAGTTTACTGGGTCACACCTGTGCCAGTGTACTTTTGTTATTTCAGTGGAAAAACACCTTATACATAAAATAGCAAAACCACAACTAACTGCATGATTATAACTAGATGAATGCTTAAAAATTGTCCATTTGTCAGCATAGAAGCTTTTGAATGAAAAGTGTATTCCCAGTCTTCAGAAGACTTTTAGCCTGATTTCATTAGAAAATAAAGCTTGTGTTTCTGTCTCTCCCAGTAATATCGTTTGAATCTACCAGCTGACTTCATCTAAATTTGAGTAAGTTGGAGAAATGACTGTTCTGAAACTTGAGGAGGAAAAGCAAGTCATCTTTTCTAAAAAGCATATTAGCCTGGTTTTCATAATAAGTAAATAATATGCTGGTGTTGTTAATATGTAGGAATTGGAGAAGAAATTCCAGCAAACAGCTGCCTATCGCAACATGAAAGAGATTCTCACTAAGAAGAATGAACAGATAAAGGATCTACGTAAAAAGCTTTCTAAGTAAGTGGTGCTGTTCTGTCTGTCCAAACCAGGATCCTTTTTCTGGATCCATGCTCTGCTCCCATTTTGGTTTTATAAGTGTGAAGTTGTCTCTAAAACAGACTATAAATTTTCCCTTAAAAAGAATTTCTAGCGGGCTATTCCCTCATTTTTGACAAGCCAATCCTTTTAATGGATGCTAGGTGAACAGGACTGATGTGTGCAACAGCAGCTACTGTGTAGCACGTACTGAGAGAATTTAGTATGGAGAGGATATAAAATATTCATGGATGTGGTAGATAAGCCCCCAGGTGCTACACACAGAGATACAGATGGGAGATGTACCAGATGCCTTGGTGTTACCTTATTTCTTCCATGATTATTTTTGGGAATGAGAAGTCCACAATACATAAACAGGGCTAGGCCAGTATTGAGTAAAGAAAGATGCACCCTGGCCATTATATTGCATAGAAGGCTTATCATTCTTCAAATGTGAAGTGAGCTTTCGCAACATGGATGTCTTAGACCTACGCTCCAGAAGGACAGCGGTGGAACTTTAAGACTTCTGTTTAAACCTCTGTATTTTGGGATTTGTGGGTAGGCTCCTGGTCATTCCCTCATTCTACTATTTGTTAACCTGTCCAATTTTAAAAGGAGAAAATAGTCTAAAAAGTATATACATTTTTCTGTGCCCTAAGTCATACAGTGAGCCTTGACAGGAATGCATCACTAGTGGAAGTAATTCATTACCTGGGTTATGGCTTTAGAGAGAACCTATCTCTTGGGTTTTTTCTACTCTGTTTTAATGGGGTTTTTTTGGTTTTGTTTTTTTTTTTTGGTCTGTCGTCAGATATGAGCCAGAGGACTAAAACACCAAGAACATCTTATCTATCAGAAGCTGCCATAGAAAGAAAATGTAGACTGGTATTATTTTTCAATAATTTTTGGTTTGTATGGTATATTTTTTGCTTGTAGTGCTTAAAATAACTTTTTATTAATACTAATAAGATGCTGAAACTCCTATCTTACTTCCTTATAAACCTACAATTTATAGGTATTAGTTTCTGTTGTCATGTTTTTGTTAAACATCAACATTCCCTGAGAAATAGCAAACAGGAGCTTATTGAAGAACTGAGATCATTCTCTACAAAGAAAGGAGTTTATTTTTGTTAAGAAAAGAAAAAAAAAAAAAAAAAGAAAAAATAAGCATTAGAGTTTTTTGAGGTCTCTGAGGTGGAAACTCCAGTTGTTACTTTTGTATAGTTAATGTAGCCATGAAGTGGCAATATGTGTGAAAACTGCATCAGTGGAACTAAAAAGGAGGAAAAAACCCACACTGATTCTATAACATTATTTCATACTGGACATCTCATACTTCAGTGGTCAGTAACATTTTGCTAGACGGTGTTCATTAGATAGTGAGGTAAATATGCTTTGTAGTGGAAGCACTGGACCCTTTCATATAAAGCCACTAATGGAGTTACACTTTTTCACTTCAACTTATTTGAAACAAATTTGAACATCAAAATACAGATTCTGATTTTGCCAGTGCTGTTAACATTAAGATGACAATCTGAAAAAGCATAGGGAAGTTGCTAATGGAGCAACTTCCTTAGAAGTTATTTTAGATGTTTTCATCTCCTTTCTTACTGTAACCTCACTAGGAAACAGCTTGCTTCCCTCGAGTCTTCTGCTTGTAATCCTCTGCTTTGCATTTATCTGGAAGCCTCTTAATAGTGCATTCTACTTGTTTGTCTGTCCCTGTTCATATGTATGTTGTATTTTACTCCAAATAAAACCATTATGTTTTCAAACACTTAATTCTTAAGGAGCTGCATTTTTATAGGAATATTCTGTATAGCTCTTTTTTTAATATCTGTAGAAAGGAGTGGCAGATCAGTACAGAATCTTACTAGAAATGCAAACATGTGAAGTACAGATTCACGCCCAAAGCCACACAACATCAAACAGCTGTAAAAAAAGTGTACCCGTGGCAGGGCTGGGAAAAGGCTGCTCTGTGTGTGCTACAGAAACTGGCATTTAACAGCACTTGTCTCAGGAGCTGCTTGAACTGAAATCGATCATTTTTCCTCATTCTTTCTCAAACGCGCAAAGCTGTTAAAATTCCTCAAGCAGTGATGCCCCCGTCAAATCCACCATACATTTGCAGTCTGTAAGTTCTTTTGTTGTACTTTTTCCCCCCACTGCTTAATCAAGATTGGTTTGGGATGTAGTCCTGTGTTTGTAGCATGGTGTTATTGCTGTAGCATGATAGTAGGGCTTTATGGAGTGACATATTCCTCATGCAGTGTCAGTTAAATTCATGAAAGGTATTATTTTGCTCCTTGTACAGTCACTAAAATGTTAAATTCTTAATAGGGACGTACCAAAGAGCTTTCTGGCCTGTGTTTGCTCAGAGCAATTACGTTGACACCAACAGGAGTACTTGTCTGGGTGAATATTGTGTTTTTCTTCGTCATGAAACTCATTTTAATGAGATTGGTTACTATTTCTAAAATGGCAGGTGAAGGGTGAAGAAAGGCAGAGATGACTTCTGCTGGTTTTCTCTTTCCTGGTAAATCTTTTGGCTGTTGATTTAGCTGGAATATTGCCTCTGTGATAAGCCTTCGTTATCTGTTTAGAGACCATTTCAACAAGGAAGTACATTCTTGACTTCAGAACCTGGATAGGTCTCGGTGAGATAACTCAGCTGTAGGCAAGCATGGTTACAGCCTTGTTATCTCCTCAGATGAGTAAGGCAAATCTTGCAGAGATCTGTGCAGCGCAGAACTGAAACACTGACTTTGATTACCTGTTGTGCAGATTGCTGGTTTAGTGAGTACGAGACCCATGTGACGCTGTCATTGATTTGTGTTGCACAAGGGCTAAGGTAAAGGTCTTGTGTAAGGGCTAAGGTAAAGCTCTTGAGGAAAAATACATCATCTGTCAAAGATGATGTACCTGTCAAAGAAGACCTGGAGCATTTTACAGTAGCAATTCTCTTTTTCTTGAGATAGGTACAGTATTTTGAAGATGGAGGTGGCATCTGAACCTCTCCTGATTGAATCTCATGTGTCTAAAATGTCACTTCTTTCCCTGAAGTGTGAATTCTGATACTGCTTTTACCAGCCTTTGTTTTTCGGAAGTTCATTATACTGCTCAGATAGACATCATCCATTTTTTTTCCACTTCAACTGTTAATTCCCTAGTTATGCCTGAAAGGAATGTTTAAAAAGAAAATTTCTCTGTAACTGGCTGATCTGCAGGAATGAAAATGCTTTCAAGTTGGGTGGGGTTTTTTTTTTCTTGCAGACTGAAGCGTAGTTTCTACAGGAATGAAATCTAGGCAGCTCAGCTTCGCTAGTATTGACTCTGAGCTAACAACCAACCCTGTGCTGTAACAGTGTCTTGAATTCAGCAGTTGGTCATTAATAAATGAGCCAGCAGTGCTGCATGTGACCTTCTTAATGAGACTGTATATTACCTGATGTTCTGTAACTGTTCATAAAGTACCCCTTAATATGTGTTTCTCTTGTGGATAATAGCCTTTTTTATTTTTTTTAATGTGCTAAGGTGAATACTACTATTGAATCATGGAATGCTCTGGGTTGGAAGGGACCTTTAGAGGTCATCTAGTCCAACCCCCCTGCAGTGAGCAGGGACACCGCTAACCAGATCAGGTTGCTCAGAGCCCCGTCCAACCTGGCCTTGAACGTTTCCAGGGATGGGGCCTCCACCACCTCTCTGGGCAACCCGTTCCAGCATTTCACCACCCCCAATGTAAAGAATTTCTTCCTTATATCCAGTCTAAATTTACTCTGTTTTAGTTTACAATCATTACCCCTTGTCCTGTCACAACCAGCCCTGCTAAAAAGATTGTGCCCATCTTTCCTACCGGCCCCCTTTAAGTACTGAAAGGCCGCAATCAGGTCTCCCCACAGCCTTCTCTTCTCCAGGCTGAACAGCCCCAACTCTCTCAGCCTGTCCTCGTAGGAGAGGTGCTCCAGCCCTCAGATAATTTTTGTAGCCCTCCTCTGGACCCGCTCCAACACTTCCATGTCCTTCTTGTGCTGAGGGCTCCAGAGCTGGAC